TATATATATATATATATATATATATATATATATATATATATATATATATATATATATACTTTTTAAAACATGTAAATGCCTAAATATATTACAAAATGCACTTTAACAGGGGCAAGAAAATACATTTATATTTTTAAAAAATTTTGAACAATATAAATATATTTAGATTGAAAATATATAAAAAATTCCCCAAAATATAGTCAATGAAATACAAGTAATTCAAACTAAAAATATATTGTAAATATGTAAATATATTTCAACATGTATATTAGCAACATATTTTTGGTCAGTTTTTAATATGTTGATATATATTTAAAGTATGTATGTATTTAAAGTTTTTTTAATATTGGCATATATGTGATCGGATACACCAGATAAAAAAAGAATACAAGCAATTATATATAACTAATATTTATTTATTTATCACTTTAACAGCAATAATCAGCAGATAACTATTGCTATAAAAACAACATTTAAAATACCATTTAATTGCAATGACTTGATTCTGTGAATGAAGTATTTATACTTGATAAGTATTTGTATTTATTAATGTACATGAACCATTTCACCAGAGTGAATCAGACTTTCTCTCTAATGCAAAAGAGGATGATTTAGGTGAACATTTGATTATTGCCATTTTGCTATTGCTATTTGTTGGCTAAAGTAGCTTGCTACTGTAAGAGTTAATAATATCACGCTAAGTTCCGTTAGCTACTCTCCAGCATTACCGCTGTGCTATTGCTTCATTCTGTCTTTATAGGTACATCAGCTCCTCAGTTCGATATATAAATCAATGGGCACTATCTTAAGTGCTAGGAAAGTGGCATTGCAAGGTCAATGTCATGCAATAAACATGCAGAGCTAGAGCAGGTTAGTTGTCTTTATAGATGAGTTTGACTGCAAAAAACATTATAACACAATCTATGAATTCATTTTATGTCAAGAAATCAAAATTTGTGACCCTGAAGCACAAAAGTCTTAAGTAGCACAGATATATTTGTAGCAACAGCCAACAATACATTGTATGTGTCAAAATGATCGATTTTTCTTTTATGCCAAAAATCATTAGGATATTAAGTACAGATTATGTTCCATAAAGATATTTTGTAAATAAATATATCAAAACGTAATGTTTGATTAGTAATATGCATTGCTAAGAACTTCATTTGGACAACTTTAAAGGCGATTTTCTAAATATTTAGATTTTTTTGCACCCTCAGATTCCAGATTTTTGTATCTCGACCAAATATCGTCATATCCTAACAAACCATACATCAATGGAAAGCTTATTTATTCATTCAGCTTTTAGATGATGTATAAATCTTAATAATAATAAAAAAGACCCTTATGACTGGTTTTGTGGTCCAGGGTCACATTTATCCTTTCTTTGCTGAAAAATAGACAGCATTTTCATGTTTTTTTGCACTAAATGTTTCCGTTTAACATTACATAATGAGACCCTGATTGACTTTCTGAGCTTTAATTGTTCTGTAAGCCTTGCGCTTGAACTGAGATCTGTCCTTCCTGCCGCAGGCATCGATCTGTGTCCACTCATTCTGCTTCTTATTATTCCTCTCCTGACATGCCATAATGTCTTTATTTACTCTCCCGAGGGGAAAGACCTCATCAACATCCAGCTAAACCGAAAAGGTCCGTTTAGACATTGACCTTGGCTGGAAACACATCACAGCAACCCGTTTAATTTCAGGGGAATTTTTAATATTGCCAACTGCGTCAACACACAACAAACATGGCATCTTAAACTGACACAAGTTTACACTGTGAGAAAACCGTAGAAATACACGAGGAGCAGAGACTCAAATGTTTTTAGATGCTTTATATGTATTTCTTTGGGGTTTAGTTCAAGTCTGTTATTTGAATTAAAATAGGCAAGTGTTATCTAATGCTGATTTAGTGTCATCAAGATTAGAAAACTGAGTTTATATCAGAGGAAAAGGTTTTCAAGAGGTCTGCAGTTGGGCTTGAGACAACCACACATAGCGGATGCCATCACAGGACTGAGCAAAGTTCATGAAAGAGGGGAAAACTAGGGGAAAACACAGGTGCAAGCAATGATTATATTTAACTGAACAAAAACTGCAGTCTGTATTGCCATCTGCACCCCACAACACCCTTTGTTCCCGGTGGAACAGTTCTGACATTCCCTCATAAAGCTTGAATTATCACATGGATCAGGTCTAAAACTTTGTGAACTGACAACCATAACTATGTTTCTGGCATATAACCCTCAACTATATGACCAGACCATAAAAGTGCTTTGATAATGGTGGTCCGCCACTCATTCCCATCATGACTGACTGTATGACAATCACATGAAAATATTCAGTCATAAATTGATACATGATTACAAAATAATGTATAAAAAAATAAATCATTTACATTTAAACAATTTGCATCATTATATTAATTATATGTGACCCTGGACCACAAAAGTCACAAGGGTCAATTTTTTGAAATTGAGATTTATACATCATCTGCAAATATTATATTCTGTTCTATTCTATTCTATTCTGTATTTTAACAGTGTGTGATACAATGTAAAAATTATTTATAAAAATAAATCTATATCTATAAATTAAAAATGTAAATACTTGCATATATTCTATTCTAATTTCATTTAAACTATTATTATAATATGACAAAAATAATATTTACATTTAATTGATTATTGATGTATTTTTTTATCATGTTATATGTTATTAAATGATTATTTATATTATTATATTTTATGTTATATAAAAAAATGAATTCAGTCACGCAGCTTCTTCCTGTCAAAGTGGCCAGAATAAACTGCAACCTGGAACAGAGCAAAGAGCCAGTCCAAATGTTCCTTTCAACATATTAGTAAAATATTGAACACGATTTTATGATGTTTTTATGCAAGTTGCTTTGGTAGGAAAAAGTCGCCTAAGAACAAAACTGTAGGCATAGTTTGCAAGAATATTACAAATATAACCATTCAAACTCATTTTGTATGACCTCTAGACTTTCAGCAGTCCAAACCACAGACATTCACAAGCCATGTGTGACATAAAGTGATAGCTTGTCATGTGAAACATGTAACAAAATGAACTGGGTCATTCTTCGTACTCCTAAAAGATCCACTTCATCACTACATCCCAATGATAGGCTGAAATGTGAGAGATGTGGGACTGGGCAGAAGTAATAAGCTCAGACGAGCAGGTCATCCATGTCAATCCATATGTTGTGGACATAAAATGGTTTTCCTGTGGTAGCTACAGTAATGAAACTGCCAGCTTCAATTGTTCAAAAGGAAAGTGGCTTGGAATCGGTGCTAGTATTTTTTCTCTAATCTACCTTTAATACAAATAGCGTAACTAGTAATATGAATGTATGTACATTAAATGGCCATATGCAGGTGTGTTTCTTCACTTACATTGTCTGTTCGAAGCTTCTTTGCAGGACAGCCACCATCCACCGGGTGTAACATGTAATACAGACGAACTTTGTTTGCATGCTTTCGACTCTGTAAGAAAATGAGAGAGATGGGGCAATATATGAGAGGTGCTTTCACAAGCAGCCAGTTACATTCAAGTGTTGACAGAAAAACAACTCGCTATTGATTATCAAACTAGCGATGTCAGGGCCCAAACAATTCTCATCAGAGCTACAGGAACACTGCTTTCATTTCTCAGAGCTTGATATGCCCCACTCTAGGCTGCGAGTGATCGCTCTGGTGGGTGGATAAAGGTCCATATTGATTGTTGTGCAGCAGATGAATGGCCAGCCATATGAGCAGTGAAAAGGCACCAGAAGAGTAATTCTCACAGGGGGTCCTTCAATCCATTTTCAACCAACCAACCAGAGATATATCTGCCCCAAAACAGTAAATCTGCATGAAAGTGATGTGGAGTTATTTCTCGCTTTAAGCCACCTTAAACTAAAATGATTTGTAGGAGCTTTGTAGATGCCTGTAAGACTAAGGTTGTTGGGAATCTAAAAGGCAGAACATTAAAGGAATAGTTTACACTATAATAAAAACTGGTC